ATTTATTTAGTTTAAAGGCTGAGTTACAGAGATGGAGGCAAAGATGGAGAGAGCTTTCATCTGCTGTTTCACTTCCCAAATGGCTGCCCAAAAGGCTGGCCCAAGCCAAAGCCAGAAGCCACAAACTTCACCCAGATCTGCCATGTGTGTAGCAGGGTTCCAGGCATTTGGGCCATCTTCCACTGCTTTATCAGGGAGTTGGATTGGAAATGGAGCACCCAAGACTTGACCAGGACTTGAACCCAAGAACTCTGACATGGCATGCTAGAGTCCCAGATGGTAACAACTACTATATGTACAAAATGCCTGCACTTATCAACCCATCTTCTATCATTCTCTCCTACTGATTTTACTCTCCATCTCATGTCCAGACTAGCATAGGTGGCACACCCGCAGCAGCCCTGCCTCATCTGTTCCATCAGAACCCAACACAGCAAGAGTGAGCAAAGGAAACCCAGAGGCGCTGATAGTACCTACTGCAAGCATGAAGCTGTCCCTGCCTGGGGCTTGGCTTCTCTTGAAGCAAATCGGTCTTTGTAAACCCTGCTGGGTCCCATGGCGCTGCGACAGAAAGGCCACTTCATCCCTACCTGAAAAATTGATGTCGGATTTTCACTTGCCTCATCAGTGTATCTCAGCTCATCCTGACCTCATCCTGCCCCTCTCACTGGCACATAAAATTCACGGGGCGGCAACTGAATAATCTTCTTAAAAAGGTGCTCATTTCCACAGTGGTGAAAATAGGAGGAAAAATATCCCATCTCCAATTGAAATATATTTCAAATTCACCACTTGGCAGATTGTTTCAAAGCTTACCACTGAGCTGACGTCCCGATACTACACATGTGCTCTTTTCTCAGCAACAACACACAAGAAAAGACCAGATTTCATAAATTCAGCTCAATGGAAATAAATCCAAATGCCAGATGTAGCATTGCTATGCTGATTAGCAATCCAACAGGGGAAAAATGTGTCCCTTCCCTAGTGTTAATGCTGCTAAGCCCCCCTGGAATGCTAAATTCTTTCCTGCCCAGGCTTGTTCTTCTTAGATAGCCTTACTGGGATTTTCATCAGGATGTACCGAAGTACATCCTGATGCAAGCAAACCACCCATCCAACATACAACTTCCATTTGCTTTATCAAAAGGCAGAAACAACAATGGCTGAGAGCACTACTAGGTCAATGCATCCATGTGGTAGGTGCAGGTGCCAACTCGGAGAGCCCTAGGAACGGACATGGAATTCTGAGACTATAGTCCATACGTTCCTGTCTGGGAAACCTGCGTGAGGAAGGAGATTCAAGCACAGTGGGTACCGCTAATAACAGGGGATACATTCTAAGATCTCTGGGGTATGTCTGAAGCTGCAGAAAGTACCATGCCCTATAAATACTGTGTTTTGGTTTTTACTCTAGGTTGTAGTAATCTTGGCATATGACCAATTTTCTTACTTTTTTCAGTCAGGAACTTTTACCTCTTCCTAAAGGAAATATTTAAGATTCACTCTGACATATGTGAATGGCCAGCAATATTACTCCAATATTTTAGGGCCTTTATTAAATTAAAATAAAAGTTTGCTGAACACAGATGTTGTACAACAGTTGCAACAAACTGATGAACAACAAAGCAGCCACGTGACCTACAGACATGTAGCTTATATGTCCCGCAGATAGTGCAAAAATCTCATCAAACTATTTGTAATAGCACACAATTTAAAAATGCATGAACTGCTTACTTCTGTAATTTTCTAATACTTCTGAATCATGATTGACCCACGGCAACACAAATCAGAGCGAGTGACACTCTGGATAAGGAGGGACTACTGTGTGGAGAAAACTGCCGACAATAATCTCATCCTTGGCATGCTTACAGTTAAGCTTCTCAAGAACTTAACTATAAACCGAAAATCAGAGCAAGGGAACCCAAATATCCCACTCTCACATGATCCTGTAAAGCTGGCAACACTTTCTTTTAAATGAAAAAACACTCTGTCTGATTTCCAAAAGCCCACTCTCTGTTAATAAATGCGAAAAACAACACCTCGCCTGGGAAAACGAACTCTGCAAAGAACAAGTCCCTTTCCAACAGCAGGTGCAGAGATTGGTGGCCCAGTGGTGGGTTGGCAATCACTTCCATCTTCTCACCAGAGAGATTCCCTTATGTACAGCATGAACTGTAAAGTACCATCCCTGTACCCTCCATCCATGGGCAGTTGGCTGGGATAACTTTTCAGGGACAATTTTACATCAGTAAGGAGAGGTGGAATCTGCAACTCAAGACTGTCCTGCCTGGGAACCATGGAGTATTGGCTTACTCTTTCATTTTGCGAACACCTTGGGCATGCATAGGACCTGTGCAGATGCTGGGATAAAGGTTGAATATGGATCTTAAAAGTAGGCATGTAAAAAAAAATCCACCCCCTATATTTCTAGAAGCCAGGTGAGAAAACACTGTCCTAAACTGAGCAACTGCTGCCCACAGTACCTCCCCCAATTAGCATCAGAAATCTCCAGTGCCTCCAAAGAACTGCTGTGGGAAGGCCAGGATTTTGTATGCCTTCTTTGGAGAAAAGTTTAATTCCTCAGTTTATTTTTAAAGTCAGATACTTTTTCTTTTGCTACCGAACTGTAGGAGTTCATGATCAGATATACAGCTTGCAAATATTCTCTCCTATTCTGCAGGTTGCCTTTTAACTCTGTTGATTAGAACTGTAGTAATGCGGAACCTTTTTAACTTGATGTTATCTGACCTAAGAGAGTGTGTGTGTGTGTGTGTGTGTGTGTGTGTGTGTGTGTGTGTGTGTTTGCTGCCTGTAGTTTTGGTGTCATCTAAAAAACCACTACCAAGATAAATGTCATAGAGTGTTTTCCTATATTTTCTTCCAGTAGTTCCATGGTTACAGGTATTACATTGAAGTTTTCAATCAATTTTCAGTTTACTTTTGCATACAGTAGAAAATAAGGGTTCAGTGTCAACAAAATTTTCCCATCACCATTTGATGACAGTATCTTTCCCTCATGTGAATTTCCAGCATCTTTGTCAAAACTCAGTTAATGGACGGATGTGTGGGTTTATATGACTACTTTATGCCTCAAAGCACACACTAGCAAGACACCAGAATCAAAGTGGAGCTGGGACTTGAACCAGACATATTGAGAAGGGATGTGGCTGTCACCCCAGCTATTGTGTCAAATGGCTTCTCCTTATAATATATTTCAAGATCAATAAGTGAAATGCATCCAGTTTAGTTTTTTCTCAAGGTTGCACTAAGACTTAAGCTCATTTCTGGCTCACTAATAACTTCAACATGGATTTTTCCACCTCTATAAAAAAGCTGGATCTGTACGAAATTTTGGCTAATAAGAACATACTAAAAGTGTTAAGTCTTCCAATCTGTGAAAATGAAATGGACTTCCATTTGTTTATTCTTTTCATCAATGTCATAATTCTTATGGGTGACATTTTCACCTCCTGGATGAGTTTATTTCTGAGTACTTTATTTATTTTTGATGTGGGATTGTTTTACTAGTTTGCTTTCCAGCGAATGTGCTGTCAGTATATGGAAATGCAATCATCCATACATCTTTGAATTTAGATTGGTAAAATCACCCATGTTTTAGGATAGAACAGGCTCTCCCCTAAACCCCCACACATGGCCTCTCATCCACCCCAATGCTTTGTCCCTTGTCTCCGAGGCCTTGTGTGCACAAGCTGAGCCCTGTCTGCACATTGGAAAACACCGCTCTCCATTCTTCTTGCTCAAGAGTGAATACACTGTGGTATGGTCCATTCTGGGAAAGATGCTCTATGCCCTGGAAGCAGACTCAGGGATATCACTTGGGTAGGGAATGCTAGAATTGTGGGATTTTGGTTATGTGGAGCTTGTCTCAGAAGAGACTACACAGGCTCCAATTGTAGATTCTCAGGCTTACACAGAGAGGATACAGTCAGTGGAGGGCCAAGGTGGGATCCGGGAATGTACAAGACCCAAATCAGGAAAACAGAGCAGGGATTCCTCTTACCTGGGCATAAAGCCAGTAGGCAAACAAAGGGAAAAGCGGGCAATTTCAGCAGTAATCAGTACTTAGATATGGTGTACACAAGAGACTCCAGGAGTCCAGAGTAAGGGCACACAGCCCAGACTCCAGAAGGGCTCCCTTTAGGAGGGGTATGTACCTTAAATAACTCACAGGGAGCAAGGCAGAAATGAGCATTTCCAAGACCCAGGAGCCACAACTGTAAAGGTATGGAGTTGGAAAAACACAGTGGAAATTTCTTCTGGAACAAACAGAAAACACTTCTGGAAAGAACAAGAACACTTCTGGACATTTCACAGTGAAATTAAAGTGAAAAAGAAGGGGCCTGGCATGAATCTGGAAGCTTCTACAAGGAAAGCTCTTGGATACAATTAATTTGCATAATTCTGTGTGCCATAAATTGAGTCCCTGATAAACACAGGATATGAACTACCAAGTTCCAGTATTAACACTTAGATTTAATAAACACAATTCTTCTGAATGCTTTTTAAATTTCAGCCAACAAACATATTGAGAGGAAGTGTGATTGTCTTACACAATTTTACCCAGTCCAGCTGACACTTCCCTTTGAGATTAATCTTAAGTTCAGTAGACATAATATGTCCTAAACAAAACTCAGAACTCCCTGAAGTCCTGTCTCGTTTGACTTTTGCAGCTCACTCAGTGTCACCTCATTCCCCTTTCCAAGTCAGTGAACTTGGAGTCACATTGAATTTTTCACCCTCTCCTTCTTCATCACACCCTCCCCGAAGTCCATCTTCTTCTTCGTCTACATGGTTAACTCCCAAACCAGTTACCAACATCTCCTGCTGAGCCTGACACATCGGCTTCCTGATTGGTCCCCAGCTTCCATGTTCCACGAGGCATTAATGAACTTAAACAGGAAATCTGTTTGGGTTAGGCTCTTAAGCAAAATCCTTTTAAGTCCTCCTCTTGTACTTAGAATAAAATCTGAAGTTCTCACCTTGGTCTAGGACAGCTGGTCTTCTTTGCTGCTTGCCTTGCTCTGCAGCCTCAGCTGAAGCCATTCTTTGCCTCTGGGTTTCAACAGCTCCATACAACCTACCTCTTTTTTGCATGAGGACCTTCTTTTGCTGTGGTGTTTCTCCCTGACCGCTTTATCCAACAAGTGTTTCTCTACTGCTCAAGCTCTCAGCTCCTTGTTTATTTCTTTCCTGACATTTATTATATTGGCAGTGCTTTCTTATCTGCTTTTTTTGGTGGCTATTTCCCAAAGGAATCATATCAACTCCTGGAGTCCAGGGGCTCAATGCCTGACAATAAGTATAGATAAAGTGGTTAAGTTCAATGTCAGAAAATATTTACCAAGAGAGCAATTTTACAACCATATCAGAAATCCACTCCTTGTATCCCTCTCCAGACTTTTGCTAATTAGGCTTCTTAACCTTGAAAAAAATTTCTTCCTTATAAAGCAAGCTCAAAATTAATAAAGGGGTCATTGTGCTTGAGGAGATTTAATTTAAATCTGGGCTTCAGTAGATTATTTTCTTCAAGCATTTCACAGTGGCTATTATGTGGAACTCCACAGGGAACTAAAAACAAAACTAATATGGATGAAAATTCATGTATTTAGAAATCATCGAAGTAAGACAACAGCAGTACATGCCTCTTTTAATGTGGAAAATATTTAAATAAGACCTTGGTGGCTCTCTTACATTGTAGTCTTTCCACAGTAAATCAACTTTGAAATGTTAGTGCGTACAGCCCAAAGCTTTCCAACGCTAAGATCACCAGGTATATATATGCATCTGATCATAGTTTGGAGTATTACAAAGGGCACTAAAAAGTTAGCAGATAATATGAACTACCTATGCTTTGTCTACTGTATCTTTCAATCTCTTTGGGAATCCACAGCCATCATTTCTAAGCAATGAACTGCGAGGCTGGAAAAAGAATCATGCCCTTGAAATATGAGTTACAAGAATACCTCGTTAAGTCATAGCCATTTCATCTCATCTTTCAGGATCAAATGGTTTAAGCAATTCCTAAAAAAGAACCATTCATTTTATTTTATTTGTTTAAAAAGTTATTAAGAAATAAAAACATAAAATTTAAAAACCACTTTGAACCAAGAAGTAATCTTTATGTTTAAAGTGAATATTGCAGTTCTTGTTAGCTGCATTGCACAGGTTACATGAAGCCTGGTGCCCCTTCTCTCCCTAAGGAATGCCTATGCAGCTCACACACGTGCCCATGCATTTCTGCCTCTGTAGACATATCTGTATTTCTCTCCTAAGGGTTCTCACAGCATCTTGGAAATCTATCCATTATATTTTCCAGCTCGAGACTATAATGTGTTACAGGTTTGTTGGTCCCATTATGTTTGTCATCCCCAAAGAGGAAATTAAGGACTTGATGTCTCCTCTTTACTACCCCACCCCCACTTGCAAAACCAGTTACGCAGTAAAGACTCACTAAATACTGACTGAAAAAGTGAATGATTCAGTCACCTCTTTAACTCCTTTCTCCTAAGACGTTCAAATATGGTGACGGTTTTTACAACTCTATTCCAACATGATGTTATGAAGACATCTTATGCCATTTTTAAATAGAAATAAGTTTGTCTCAATGTCAAAATATCAGAATTTCTTAAATATTTCACTGGGCTGCTCATGTAACATGCAGTACTTTAAGTTAGAAAACAAGAGTACTCAAATTGTCATAGCTATGAAAAACGGAAACAATGGTGTCCTTAATGTGGGACAGGGTTACGATTATAGTGTTTTGGTTAAGCTGCTGCTTCAAACACCTGCATCCCATATAGAACCTCCTCTACTCTGCTTCTGCTTGCTGCAATGGCACCTGCTAAGCAGTTAGTGATGGACCAAGTACTGGGTTAACAAACAAGGAAGGAGTTCCAGGCTCCTGACTTCAGCTCGGTCCAGCCTCAGATGTTACGGGCATTTGAGGAGCGAACCCGTACATGAAAGATCTCTGTCTCTCTCTGTTCACTGTTTCTTTCAAATACATGAAAAAATCTTAAAAAGCATCCACGGGACAGGTCTCCAATTTGCCGCCTTCTCCTCACCCTGCCCACCCCATTCCCTGGCATGGCTTCCACTGAAATCACCTAGGAATGAAAGACAAGCACAGCCCTGAAACCCTCTCTCACCCTGAGGCACCGATAGATCTGGTTTACAAGATGCAACAGCAATTCTGAAAACAAATAAGGAAATGAAAAAAAAATCCTATGTAAAACCTGAGGATGATGAACTGCTTTTTTCAAAAACACACAGTACTCACTGAATAGAAAAATGTGTCTGGGTTAAGAAACTGGGGCAAACTTGGAGAAATAATTGTCATGGGTTTGGAACGCAGTTTCAATTTATAAGCAGAAAAGAAAAACCATCAGGCAAAGTAGATGACAGAGAACAAGACAGAAAAATTCATGAAAAAATTAGTCTTGCAATTGAATAGTTTACTCATGTTTGTAATAAAATCTCTCATGTTTGTGCATGTGTCCATCCACAGCATTAAATGCCCGGGGACAAAAAATGGAACAGTTCCTGTGAGGTCCTTTTGGTTTAGTTTCTTTCTAACCTCAGCATCTAGAGGAATCCCACATCATTTCCAGCCATCTTGCTGCCTCCTCTACCTATCTGTTCTCTTCTTGACAAACACTTGCCTTTTCATGATCTCAGCCCTGCTCTCTGAGGCACATTGGGTCCCAACTGCTTTTCCTATCAGGCCTCTGTCCTGAACTCCAGACTTGTAACATTCCAGATTTCTAACATCTCATTGAGACATCCACCTGACTAACAAAGATCACTTACTTCACATGTTCAAAATTCAGCAACCTACCACCTAGAAAAATTCTACTCAGTCCACCAACTTCCATACCTCAGTGGATGACACCTCCAATCCTTGGCTGAAATGCATGGCCTTCAAGGTGAACCTTCTCTCTCAGGCCACCCAAATCTGCCAGCAAAATCTGTTGGCTCTAATTTCTCAATGTTAGAGTTCAACCACATACCCCATCTCCCTTTCTACCACTTATCCAAGCCAAGATTGCTGATGAGCTAGCTAATTGGTGCCCCGATACTGACTACTCCCTACCAATCTACTGACGCCTCCACACAGCGAGACACCAAGACAGAGTGCAGGTTCTCTGCCTCACTCATAGTCAAAGCCCAAAGCAATGCCCTTCACTGGCATATACATTACAGCATCAATAACTGCTGCAGACAGTGACCTTTTTTACATTTAAAAGTTATATTATATTATATTATATTACATTATATTATCATTGCGGGCATGGACAATGGCAGAGTGTCCATTATCCTATTGTCAAGATATAGTAAACAGTTTCATTGGGAGTCCATCTTTGGCCTGGAAGTAGAGATGCATACTGCATTGTGTCCTCACATCTGGATATGATAGTCTCCATTACAGTTACTATATAGCCCCTTAAATCTTAAATGAAAAGCCACAATATGAAATCAATAGGAAGTAAAATAGAAATTTATTATGCCATGATGTTAAATAACTTGCAACTAGATATGATAGTCTCCATTACACAGTTACTATATATCCCCTTAAATGAAAAGCCACAAAACAAAATCAATAACAGGGAGAAAAAAGAAATTTACAATGTCATGAAGTTAAATAACATGCTACTGAATGACTAATGTGTCATTGAAGAAATGAAAAAGAAAAAGTTAGATATACAGAGAGGAAGAAAGACAGAGAGGAAGATTTTCTGTCCACTAATTCACTACCCAGATAGCCACAACGGCCAGAGCTGAGTCGATCTGTAGCAAGGAGCCTGTAGCCTGTAGCCTCTTCCGGGTCTCCCACATGGGTTGAGGTCCCAAGGCTTTAGGCTGTCCTTGACTGCTTCCCCAGGCTACAAGCAGAGAGCTAGATGGGAAGTGAGGCAGCCAGGACATGAACCTGCATCCATGTGGGATCCTGGCGCATGCAAGGAGAGGACTTTAGCCACTAGGCTACTGCGTTGGGCTCAGATAGTGACCTTCTTACACACACACACACACACACACACACGGTCATTTACTTATTTGTTATGTTGCTTATTGCTTCCCCTCACCCTGTGAGAATTAGTTAAGCGAAGTGTATGTTCTATAAGGCAAAGGTCTGTTCTGTACACTGATGCATCCTAAGAGATAAGCTAGTGTGTGGCATGTAATCAGGGTTGTTTAATGGATGAATTTCTAGTCCATTAGCGAACCATAAGGAGCTTAGCCATGTGACTACACTTGCCTAAGAATCTAACCATATTCCTTTCCCTTAGAAATAGTGTGTGCCACAGACAGTGCTTAATAAATGCTGTGAAATCAGTTTCTAAATGGCCCTGTCACTGCCAATTGAAGAAATAAAAATCTCACCATAGATACTGCAAAATGAAGAAAACAAAAACAGCGTATGCCATTTGTTTATCTATTCATCCATGCGTTAGTTCACACACTCAACGTAAATATAACTATAAATGTGATAAAGTCTTGAGATCCTCAGTGTCAGCCTCTACTCCACCAGGAGCTCACACTGACAGTCCAAGAGGACAAGGCCAACGCCAGGAAACAGCAAACTCACCCCTCACCCCACTCCCTTGCGCCTTCTCCTGTTTTCTAAAATACACCAACCCTCAACAACCACTTGTTCTTCCCAAGTTCTGGTGATGCCCCTGGCACTGCAACAGTCACACTGTTCTTTGTCCTTAGAGCAACAGGCAACCACTGCCCTCGTAGACTAATGAAGCACTTTACTTAGTCAGAGCACAGAAGATCTTTCTTCACCGTGTTCTTTCACAACACAAGTTGCTGACCCAGGCTTAAACTTTATTTTGGTTTGGAGGAACACTGTAGGTGACTGGGAAAGAACCAAAATGATCTCGGACATGGATACAGACCCAAGCCACAGCAGGCAAGTAAAAGCAACAGGCCCCCTCTTCTCCCAAGTCCTCCTGCTTCCAAATTTGTTAATGAACAATACTCTCAAAGAGCACAGACATGCACTTTATAGAAACTACAGGTTTAAAAGGATTTTTGGAACTAATTCAGCTTGTTTTTTTAAGATTTATTTTACTTTTATTGGAAAGTCAGGTATTTAGGGAGGAAGAGAAACACAGAGGAAGATCTTCTGTCTGCTGATTCACTCTTTAAGTGGCCGCAACGGTTGGAGCTGCACCAATCTGAAGTCAGGAGCCCTCCGCTTCTTCTGGGTCTCCCAGGCAGGTGCAGGGTCCCAAAGCCTTGGGCCGTCCTCAACTGCTTTCCCAGGCCACAAGCAGGGAGCTGGAAGGGAAGCGGGGCTGCCGGGATTAGAACCGGCACCCATATGGGATCCCGGGCGTGCAAGGTGAGGACTTTAACCACTTGCGCCACCGCGCCGGGCCCTAGAACTTATTTTTAAAGTGACTTTTCATTTTTGTTTTTTAAAGATTTATTTCTTTTATTGGAAAGTCAGATATACAAAGAGGAGGAGAGACAGAGAGGAAGATCTTCTGTCCAATAGTTCACTCCCCAACTGGCCATAATGGCCCAAGCTGCACCAATCGGAAGTCAGGAGCCTAAAGCTTCTCCCGGGTCTCCCACAAGGGTACAGAGTCCCAAGTCTTTGGCTGTCCTTGACTGCCTTCCCAGGTCAGAAGCAGGGAGCTGGATGGGAAATGGGGCAGATGGGATTAGAACTGGTGCCTATATAGGATCCTGATACATGCCAAGAGAGGAGTTTAGCCACTAGATTAGTGTGCCGGGCCCTGAAGTGACTTTTAAGTGTTCTTTGGACTTCTGCAAATGACACAGACCTTCTGCAACCAAGCAGATTGATTTGCTTCAGGATGTGACTCTGTGTTACTGTAAGTCCTCAGTTCCAGAATGTATTCATGAAGCCCTTTACTCAAAAGTCATCCCCTCGAAAGTTTTTAAAAAGTTCCCCTAAGGGTGTAATTCCTTGTAATATGCATCTCTGGGTAGAGCTTTTTGCACTAAGGCAAGTCTGTATTTTCTTACTCTCTCATTGTGAATCAC